GCTACCTCCATTCCTCTAAATTTGCCACCGTGACCGATGTCGTGTGCATCTGCACTGTTGTATGCTACTAGCTGCTACTTCCATTCCTATAAATTGGCCGCCGTCGGCGATCTCGTGCCTTATCCCCGGGGTCGGCGGCAGGGGGCGGAGCCCTTACAATAAATACCTGCAGGTAGGTGGTGAGGAAGACAGGTATACTGCCACAGAGGGAGGCAGGGCTCGGGAAGAAAGAGATGCTTTTTTCAGATAAAAAAATGCCTTTGACCATCTTTGACAAAAAAAATGCCACGTGTTACAGTTCTCTATTGAAAGACCTTGCGCATTGGCATGGCTTTTTCTGGCCTTAAGCACATCTCTTCGACGCTTGCCGGCTGCACTTGATGGAGCAGGCTGCAGGGTCAAACGCATTCGGCTGCACATTCAAGCAACTGGCCTTTTCTTTCTCAAGAGGCTCAAGCTGAAAGCATACACGAGTCTATTTGGGTGCCTTGAACTCCCACTCAAACTCCCACTTCTTGCTAGTACAAGTCAGCTACACAGAAAAAAAAAAAAAGAAAATGATTCGCACGTCACCGAAACACTGCCTGACCTTGATAGTTCCGGTGTGGGATCTCCGGACAGTCATTGTTCTCACCAAGGTATGGTGATTCTCCTCCAGCGGTGCAAGCGAAGAAAAATACACGCGTCGTAAGGACGGACTGAAGATCTGCGCCTCATCCTCCCAGCGACCGATTCGAAGTTGCCGCTCGGTCTCCTGGTGAATGGAAAACCAAGGGCGTTCCTAGTGAGAATCAATGAAATCAGTTGAGAATCCACGTCCCTTTCCTTGATGGCTTCATTCTCTTCTCGCACTCGATCTTTGATCCAGTCATCCATCCGGGCAAAGATCTGGCAGCGTTTTCAGGCAATCTCAAATCTCTAGGATAATGGACCTCAGTACTTTCAGCTACATCATCTCTATCTGTTCCATTCCTAGACTGTGATATCTCACATAGCACCTCGTCGTATTGAGCCCTCATCTGCTCCAGTCTTGCAAAGGTCCAAGCCTTTCAGGGTCCATCCACTTCTGTCAAACAACTTCCTGCACACGTCGGCATCTGAAAGGTTCTATATTTTAATAGTTTAATTTATTTATATATGATGGCAGCAAACGTCAAGTACAAATCTTCTTTCATTCCAAGCCCGTTGCCATAGTTTTGCAACAACTTAGGGCCCAGCTGCTATGGATCGGCACTTGCGGGAAAGAGCACGGCGTTCAGCTGCAGGGCTTGCGCAACCCAAAGATGGCAACATGCAGGAAAGGAGATGGGAAGAATTCGTTACCATCAGAATACAAAAAAATGAACACCGCAAAGGACCCAAAGCTGTGCGTCTTGCTTCCTGGCCGCCTCACCTTGGATAGCTGCTACCAACTGCGACTTTTCAGTACCTTCCTTCTCGATGCTCACAGATGCCTGCGAACCGAAAGGATGGATGGGAGAAAGCATCAAAGAGAACCAACGAGCGACTTCAAGCGTGGTTGCACATCACATCAAGCATTTACACCCCTGTCTCAGAAGTTCTGGCTCAAATCCTACAGTACCTGATACAAACCGCCACGTGGGACTTGAGCGAAGAGTCTGGACTGGGGGTAGACAATCAAAGCTGCCTACATTCACAAGCAGCAAAAGCCAATCAAACAGTGCCTCTAGGAAGGAGCTGTCCTTCAAGTGAAATTGAGGTGTCATTTTGCTTGCCTCCCTTTGATTGCTCAAGTTTGCTTCCAAGGTTTTCGTACTGTTCCTCTTCCCTGATGGGTTCCATGTTGTGGTCCATGGTGGAGGCTTCAAGCTCTATCCCTGTGGGCTCAGCGGCAGCTGCACCTGGCGCGGGGCTCCAAAAAGGCATCAAGTCTCACCAATATTATGGCACTATCACTTATTTATATGCATATATATATATAATAATATATATATATGAAATTATATGCATATAAGCTGGAGTCAATCACCTTGAAAAGAAGATGAACTATTACATGTTTGTTCATTAAAAAATGATATATAACTAAATCACAAACTCATGTAGAGCTATCCACGAACGGCACAATGCCGGGGGGGCGTTCAGCCGATTCCTCCAGCCAAGCTGCCAGCTCCTGGGTGTCAACCAACGAGTGAAACATGAGTTGCTGCCACAATGAACTCAAGTGAAACTCATCTGAAACATGGAGAAACCTGGATCGCTCACATGCGGGCGGAAAGAGTCTCCTGTAAAGAGGATAGTTCGGGTGACGGTTCTTCAAGGGCGCTCACATCGAAACAGTCCATGCCCTGGCCGAAGCCGCGGTGCTTTTGTGTCGTTCGTTCTCACAAGGTGAATGGCATTGAAGAAATGGAACTATTCATTTCCAACTCTCAGCTCCCTAGGTCGTGCAAATGCATGGCTGCAGTGTGGCCAAGTGTTTTAGTTGTTGAAGGTAGTTAAGATGTATAGCTGTACAATAACAAGAAATGCAAGCAGTGCTTATATACCAACTAAGCATCATTAGCATCAGCGTGTGTAAAGACACGTGTCTTGCTTCTGCTATGGTAAAAACTAAGGTGGTTGATGTTTTTCATCTGTAAGAGCACCAAGCATATTATCCAACTAAAGTGCGAACAAATTCAGGTTGAAGCTGGTATATCCAGTCTGCCTGTTTTTCGCCAGTGTAAGTCCACTTCAGCACTGCCATTGCCACTTTGAAGCGGCAAAGTTCAAAGGCCTGCCAGAAGCAAAATTGTTGATAAATACATCCTGCACGTGTTCTCTTTTTTGGGCTGCGACTGCTGTGGGAGTGCCTACCTGTATGCGTCCACCCACATGAGCCACGGTCAAATTCTACTGCTGAAGGGTGTATCATCGTCGTTTTGGTCTTGTATGTTGTCACCGCATTGGTCTCAAGGGCTCAGCGGTGAACCGCATCCTGTTGCGAGTGCAAGGGTCTATGGATTGAGCCATGATGCTTGTGCTTACACTTGTTGATGCTGGTTTAACAATTTTGACGATCGCTCCTGACTGGGAATGGGACAATATGCGGGGCTGTTTTGTGTCAATGTTCATTTGGGTTTTGTGGTCGACGCCTCCTGCCCGTGCATCAGATTGCCCATGATGCTTGGAGGTTCGTGTGCTCAATTATGCTCTAGACTCCAGACCAACCAAAGTTCTGCTCTTGATGCAGGTTCAAAGTTCATGACCGAGTCGTTTACTTTGACAACTGCACAAAATACCTGCAGTGGTTCTGCCTTTACACTTTTCACGCTCTTGGCCGCGCAAAGTAAGTGCCCTCAATGCAGAGCTTGAGAGGCTAGCTTGTTTGCTGAATCTCCTACCTCACTGCGCCAATCAATGGCTCCTTTTTTGGTCTTCGAAACACTTTGAGACCATTGAAATGCCTGGCCAGTGTGTATGCTTGGCATTTTGTTGTATCCATGTCATTGACTCAGTAAAACCACTGAATGTACGCAAGTCCGCTGAGGGTGAGTCTTATCCTTTTTCGGCAAAGACCTTCATTTAGAGATCCGACGTTCATCTCTCTCTCTCTCTCTTTACTTGTGTGTCTTCCGCAAATTGACCATACCTCGACCTCATATAGGATTCTTACAGTGCAAAGTGCTTCAGCACAAGGACACGGCACGTCTTTTTCTGCAGTCTAAGCGCAAGCCCAAGGAGCATATGCCAACCAGTTTGGACAGCAGTTGGTACATGCTTCAAAGGCTGAAAACGCTGGATATCGAGCTACATCAAAAGTGCTGTCTTTGACAACTTTTGACTAAAAGGCCAAGCTTTGTCATCCAGGATGTGCTGCAGCTCCTAGCTCAAGTCACACACCTGCAATTGATGTGCAGAGTCAGAAGGCATGGCTGCAGCTCTTTGCTTGAACTGTAGAAGGCAGCGTCGGCTGAAGCATCTTCCTACCGTCATGCAACATCGGCCTGCAATTAGTGCCCATGCGTCACGCCTACACAGGGGTAAGTCCCAAACGGTTTTCTCCTACCACCGACCAGACTGTTGCACTTGGTCTCTACATCGCCTTGAGTTCGCGTGGTTAGCCTTGGTCTGGCTCTGGCTTCCAAGGGCATCCTGCAGTAGGCTGCACAGCTGAAAAATGTCAATGCCATGCTGCAGCATCTGTTTCAGTCCGCCTTGCAGGTGTGAAGACATTACCCCAGGCGTTGTCTCTATCATGCAAGGAGGGCCCGCTGCCCTGAAGTCAAAAATTCACGCTGATTCGGCAAGAAGAAGTCCAAGTCAATAATGTCTGAGTTTCCCCACCCCTGCAAGATCACCAATCCAGCTGGAACCAACCGGGCGGTGTCGGTAGCCCATCTCCTGTTCGTGAAGGGCGTGTCTAACATTGTTTTTCCTCTTTTTTGAGAGCCCGTGGCCCCGCCTTCTTAATTAAGTAGGCGCCTACTACTTAATTAAACAAGGGAGTAAGCTCGTAGCTGCTTCAGCTACTACCTACGATGTAGGATAGCTCATGCTTCTTGCACTAGTGATTTGGTTCCTGTGCAAAGGACGTGTCTAAAAAGATGCAAGTACACAAAAAAGGATCCCACACGTGGGATTGTCTAGGCGTCCAACTTTGTTCAGCTTGTCAGCCACCGAATGCACCTCCTTTGAAAGGCTCTGAACCTGCACCATCACAGCTTCGAGCCAGCGCAAATCATGAGAAAACCCTCTAAGAATTCTCGGCCTCGCGGTCAAACCAGGCACCACTCCCAGGAAGAACTGGCCTTGTGCGCACCATACAAAATGCACCACCCACCTTGTATTTGATTCAGCAGCGTGGGAATGATTCCAGACACAAAACGTACCTCTACATATTGTATACATGGCACTGCATGGCTCCATTGCATTTGTACAGACTAGTTTGTCTACGCGCAAGGTGCAGAGATGTTTGAAGGGGTCTGCTGTACAGTAGGTGTTTGCTTTAGAGCTGTGGCTTGCTTTGGTGCAAGAAAAACACCTGGAAGAACTAATTGTCCAGTGATTCTCAGGAATGATGGAATTGGAACAAAGTGTCTTTGGTTATTCTGTCAGCGGGGGTCAGACCGCCCAAGCAAGATTGTCTCTGAGGAAATTCCGTCAAGCTTGCTCCAAGCTGCAGTCAATATTCACGAGCCGGAGAGAGCTTCATGGAATTCTTCATGTCGTATTCATGAAAAGTAAGCTGCTGGGGCAGCTACACTTCGTCCTGCGTCGTGTGTGAAGTCATAGGAGTGCCACCTGAAGTCAAACGATCCCCAGCAATCTTTGCCACAACAATTCAGAGTGAAACCGAGTCAAGGGTTCCAACATGTGTCAACAATGTTGAAAGTGTTTGTTTTGATGAAATGTCACTCAAAGCTAGACAAATTCAGCCGGAAAAAAAGGCAACGGTGCATGTTGTTTGTACACCGTCCTATCAAGTATTGGGGCAAGGTTTCAATGAAAGAACAAGAAACGAACAGAAGAATTTGCACAAGCTCCTGGCCTTTCTACTAGCAACAAAAAGCTACTAAAAACAATAAATAAATAGAATTAGAATTAAAATTCAATTAAAACTAAAAGCTACTAGGACCTTTTCGCGGAGGTACCTGTTCCTTCATCAAGGCCGGTCGGATGGGCAGCTTGAAACCTGGCCTCGGCATCGTAAACATCGTGTAGGACGGAACTACTTTCGTCGGCGTTCAATTTGAAGGAAATACAGTATATAATTTTTATAATACATGTGTTCTTGGTTCGACTTAGAGACATGTCGCTCATTCCCTTTGTCTCCAGGTACTAAAGTTGGAGTCCATGATTTGCGGGCATGCAGAGCATGTGACTCTTTTAGTAAGAAAGCAGGAGAGCTCACAACATCAAACACTTGTCTAATTTGTCATTTGGAAGACCTAGTTGGGCGACTTCTACGCCAAAGCTTTGTTTCAGGACAAGGTAAGACTGGCTGAGTTGAGGGCCGACATGTCACCAAGGGCCTCCCAAATACACTTCGACTCACGAACATGAAAGTAGACATCGGGTTGACAAGACTTCGTCTTCCAAGACATCGACACCACTTCCACATGGGTCGGAAATGTGAATCGTGAGGCCTCAAGGCCAGGACTTGGACCCCTTCAGATTTACATAAAAAAGAAAGAGCACTTGAAGCTCTCTGCTAGCTGCTAGACAAAAGGGATACTGTGAGCGCACAGTACTTCTTTGTCAATGTCACTAGAGTTTCACCCTCTTCGCCTCTGATTGTGTAGCGCAAACCTCAAGCTTTGCTCGAGACTTGGCTTCGCGGCCTTCCTTCTCTGCGATCTCCTCCTGGGCACAAAGAGCTCAAAGCAAAATGGCTCTGAAAGTGCTATTTACGTTGCTATTTTGGCCATGCAGCTGGAACAATCATCAGACTCGGATGTTTCACAAGATTCCGCAAGTGCAAGACAGTGTCGAATTATGCAAGTGTCCACCATTCTAAACAGCCAGATCCCTTTACAGTTGCATAATCAAACATAATCAAGTCGAATAGCCTTGAAAGAATAATATCTGTGCGATTCTGTGCGTGTCGAAATCAAGACACGGATCGGAAAGAGCAATAGCCTGGCCTCCTTAATTCGGGCTTCGATGTAGGCTTCTAACCTCTTTGGGGAAAAGCTGTAACACAAAAAACGAAGCGAAGAACTCAGCAAAAATCTTTGATGTGAAGAAACAATGCTCATGAGGCCTGTTAAGCTCTTCCATGATCATGGGATCTTGAGTGTCTGGTTTCACAGCAGGCTTCCTTGGCGGCGCGGCACGTTTGGTGCTCCAGAAACCGTGAGGCATAATGTCCATCAGTGAGCACTTCCAACAACAAATCCACCCTTCTGAGCTCTTTGCTCCAGACTATCCCAAAGCTCTGCCAGTACAGAGTCAACCTCTCGCCTTAGCAACCAACTTTGAAAGGCAAAGTTTTGACAGCAAACATCCCTGTGATGGTGCGATGTAGAACAAGAATGAAACTGCCATCTGCCAGAGCCACCCCGGCGCTCCGCCAATCTGGACATCAAGAAAAAGACCGTTCGATCTCGGTGAGCTGGGTCGAGGACTCTAAGTCAACACCACAGGGCCGCGCAGCCAGCGCAGCTGAAGCAGCTTGCACCTGCAGAAACTTAAGAGACAGGCGGCTCAAGAGTCTGAGGTGTACTCTTTTGTACTTCTTTCTGCTCCAAGTTCGTGAAGGTTTATCCCTCATCAATAAGCAACTCGAGGCTTCAATCTGAAGCGGAGAAACTTGGGACTTACATGCTGCAGAATGCCCTTCAGACCTATCTGCCACAAAGTGATGCACACACAGTTCAACCACTTGCCTCCTCTCTGGTGGTGGGATTCAAGCTGCGACTCTTTTGGTTCCATTGAAAGTTGCCTCGAGCTGCGATGCAAACCTTCCCCTTTGACCCACAGAAAGTCATTTCTCTCTGAGCAACGAGCCCCAAGCGGCTTCAAGTTCTTTGAATCTCTTTTGCAGCGTCTTCCCCTGGCATCGCGGCGTCTTCCCTGATAGCGATCTCTGCATCCGACTTTTGACGTAAATGTGCCTGTCCAGAGCTCATTCCGGCCAGGGCCACTTGCGAAAGGACCTTGTACCTGCAACTCTGTAGACGATCATAGCCTAGTCGGAGATCTTAAAACCCCAGCAAACTAACATGAAAATCACTGGTTTCTGAAGAAAAACTATCTTCCAAGCGTCCAATTTCAGGATTCATGTTGGTTTTTGGGAGGGAAAATGAACAGTTGACATCCTTCATTTTGACTCATCACTGGACAAGTTATATATAGCTGGCTTTCATTGTCTTTGGGCACTCCGCTGAGGCTCCCTCGAACTCATCTCGCATCTTGCGAACTTTTTCAACTTCGGCCTGGACAGGTCAAATCTCCCGGTCAAAACTCATTGACTGAAGCCTATGCACTGGCCAGAGGTCCCCCTGTACGACCGCCTTATGTTGAAATTCAGAATCACCTATGCAATACTGTGCAAAGGTCTGCAGGTGCCTTTGCAAGAACAGGAGCATCTCCACTGATGCCAGAGTACCAGGGCATCATGGGCACTGGTCCTGGCACTCTGGCAATGCCACGACTTCGGCAGAAGAGACTCTTCATCACTCTTCTTGATCTCCAACAAAGAAGGCTTCGCTGTTTTCAGTGCCGCCAGGCCCAGCCCAGCCCGGCCCAGCCCGGCCCAGCCGCCCTGCCCTCCTCCACGCAATTCTGCAGCTTCTTGCAACTGGAGTGAACTGCCCGGCACTTGCATCGCCTCCCCACTGCCCGGCACTGGGCCAAGGCCAAGCTGTGGAGAGACCGGAGCAGAGGTGAAGGCCGATGCTGCCGTGCCTGCAGATCCTGAACAAGTCCAACTGTCTCAGATCTTTTGAAAGCATTGGCTGTGATCTTCAATTTCCAGAGTCTAAGAGGCTATCTACCATCTTTCCTGATATTGGAGTCTAGAAAGGGGAGAACCACAAAAGAAACATGGTGCAAGACCGCCTTCTCTCGCATCTCTCAGAGCCAAGGCCACCTTGGCGGCCTGGGCAGAATCGTACGAAAATCCTGAACAAACTGGATTGTAAACGGGTTTTTGATTGTACTTGGAAATACTTTGGTTATTTGTCCTTCAACCAGTAGGTCAAAAAGTATCCTTGTTGTTCTTGTTTTTGTTCTTGTTCTTGTTCTTGTTCTTGTTCGCTCGCTCGCTCGCTCGCTTGCTCGCTCGCGGTGGGTGGGTGGGTT